GATCCTGGTGCAGTGGACTCACATTTGCTCATGTGAGCACCTTGAAAGCAGCAGAGTAACGTAAGCAAAGCTGCATACCTAATTTATTTCTACTGATTAAACAAATAAAAGAACATAACAAACATGTACGAGAGACACAGCTCTCTCATACTGCCATCTTGTCTCTAGACAGATCAAAGAAAAACCCACACACAGTACTAGGGATGGAAGTCTGGAAGAGTAGTTCCAACCCCCACCCCCTTTATCACAGAGAGAAAGTAAAAAAAACATGATCTGGTGATCCTTGCAATGGGAGGGATGAAAATACTGAGAAGAACAACTTATAAAGCAGAATGCTGTGCGGACAGTCCAGTATAAATCCACTATTAATGCACAATTATCGAGTCAATGTTGTCTTGCAGAATACAACCCCCACCTCCAGAAAATCTTGCACCAGGCTGGAGGGGTCCTCAATTCAGAGAGGTAAGAGCTGTTTGACAATGGATCAAACTACCTCAGAAGGTGGTGGATCCTCCCTCGTTGGAGGTTTTTGAGCAGATGTTGGATGCTCATCTGTCAGGGATTTTTTTAGCTGTGACTCTTGTGTTGCAGGGGATTGGACCTGATTCGGGTTTCCTAAACTTGGGTCTCCAGCTGTTTTCAGACTACAATTCCCATCACCCCTGACCACTTTTCTTGCCAGCTAGCTAGGGATGATGGGAGTTGTAGTCCAAAAACAGCTGGAGACCCAAGTTTGGGAAACACTGGACGAGATGACCTTTGGGGTCCATCCAGCTCTATAATTCTATGATCCTAGGTAGATGTCCCATTTGGATTCTTTGGGCCAGGATCAGCTGGGAATTCTGGGATCAATCGGATACACGGCGCAGCGTGGGAGCGTGAAACAAGAAAGCACATATTCTACCAGCCCATGAGGAGCGACTGGTATTCAGAAACAAGCTTAGAATGGTCCCGTGCGGGGGGAGGAGAACCAGAAACAGTTTTTTGGGGGGTGGAGGGCATAATGACAGACAGCAACTAGGGAGAAGTAGCTGGAAAGCAGTCAGGTTTGGCGACAGAGAGAAAGCCGGCTATGATCCTCGGGGATCGATGAACAAAATTGCAACGCAGGGCATCTGGATTCGTTTTTCTGCTAAGGAGTGCCAGATTGCACAAAAAATCAGTAGGGAGAGAGCGAGAGAAAAAGCCAGTCATTCAGAAAGGTAACTCCGTCAAGCTTTCGCATTTCTGTCACTAGCAATAGAGATGGGTTGGGCTGGGGAGCGGGAGGAAGAGGCAATAATTTGCAACCCACGGCCCCTTCAAAGCATCCTTTGTTCCTTAAGGCCACACATCCATTTCCCTGGGCTTCTTTCATCCATCAAATTGCAACGGGAAGAATTTTCCCTCGCTGCCCCCGAGTTTCCACCAATTAGTGGCTCGGATTTCTCTCAACACAACTGGGCTGGGAGGGCATGATGTCTCATGTCCAAGTGGATTCTTTTGTGGCCTCGTGACAAAGAATAGCGCAGCCGGTGCCCAACAAGGTTACCCTGCTTAAGGAAAGATCCTGTCCATTGGATATGGCAGGAACCGCATTTGGTTTGCCAAAAGAGAGAGGCTGGGATGCTGGGCTCCTTTCTGTTTGCAAACTAACGCCAGGAAGCCTTGCCGCTTGGCAGCCACGTTGAGCCAGTATTGATTATATTTTTAGATTAGGAACAGGGTTCAGATCCCTACTCAGCCATGTAGCTCACTGGGTGGCCTTGGCCTGGTCACCATCATCTCTCCGCCTAACCTACCTCACAGGGATGTTGTGAAGGTGGGGAAAGGGGAAGAGAGAGAACCATACACACCACTAGGTTTTCAACATCACGATACATCGCCAGCTAAACATCACGATATATCAATATATCACAATGTCTGAAATAAGAATGCAGCTATGTAGAGGTGAACGGTACAGTGGTACCTCAGGTTATAGACACTTCAGGTTACAGACGCTTCAGGTTACAGACTCCGCTAACCCAGAAATAGTACCTTGGGTTAAGAACTTTGCTTCAGGATGAGAACAGAAATCATGCATCAGTGGCGTGGCGGCGGCAGTGGGAGGCCCCATTAGCTAAAGTGGTACCTCAGGTTAAGAACAGTTTCAGGTTAAGAACAGACCTCCAGAACGAATTAAGTTCTTAACCTGAGGTACCTCTGTACTGTTGTGCGATATCTGGTTTTCAACATTGTGATACATCACCAGCTAAACATTGCAATATGCAGATCTATTACAATGTCTGAAATAAGGATGGAGCTATGTAGAGGCATTGGCTGGCTTCATGGTTTGCCCCATGTTGTGATTTTTGCGCGTACACACACATCGTGATTCATGATATATTGCCATGTCAAAAATTATGAAACTGGTATCACAATATGGACTTCAAAACAGTGTTGGACGATATATCGCCCAGCCCTACACACCACCTGGAGCTCCTGGAAGGAAAGGTAGGATATAAAAGCAATAAATAAGAAGGGAAACAGCATGGACAGAAGGTAAACAGCTGTTGGGGGAGAGGACTTTTTGAAACAACCATGAAGCTCTGTTTTGGGTGGTCAGCAGGTTCCAGATCACAGCCCTGGATTGCTTTGAAATAAATGTGAAAACAAAGAGAGAATCAAAATACGGAAAACCACACAGCGGCAGAATACATATTTTATTGATATCAGGCAGAACATGTTTACATGAATATGGAGTAAGGTATATTAATCCCGACACTTTTCAAGTACCACTCTTCTTCAGGAGATCAAAAATACAGAAATCAGATAAACGTGCCCCACAGATATTAAAAAGGCAATAGAATCAATAACATATGTAAAAACAACCTCCCTATCACAATCCTAATATAAAAAAACCTTATGAAGTATTCCTTTCCCTTAAAATTAATGTGTCTTGTTTAAAAATACTTTATTAAAAACATGCCATTAGGCCCCTCATTTCAGAGCCTGTTTAGATCACCCCCACCCTGCTTTTTCTTTTAAAGTCACGGAAGCAGCTAGGATAGCCACTATTAAAGGTGCAGAGGACACAGGCCAGGGCTCCTGCACCTTTTGTTAAAAGCTGCCATGCAAGCAGCACCTGCTGAAATTCCCTCTCCTATCCCCTTGTTAATTAAAGGAGCCCCATCCTCTTTTGCAACTTGCCAGTCTGGGAAGTGGCATGTCTGTTTTTCTGCGAGTACAAACTGCAGCCTGGACCAAGTTTTGTTTATGACTTATATGGAGCAGCTCTGCTTCTGGATCAGACTAAAGGCCTTCCTATTCCCCTTCCTATTCTGAGAATCCCTCTAGTATAGTGTTTCCCAATGTTGGGTCTCCAGCTAGTTTCTGGACTACAGTTCCCATCATTCCTGACCACTGGTCTTGCTAGCTGGGGATGGTGGCAGTTGTGGTTGAAAAACAGCTGGAGACCCACAGCTGGGGAACACTGCTCTAATATAGCATGAAGGCAATAGTCCCCCAATGCTATCCCGGAATTGGTACTTAGTGGCGCTTACTGGCGCTTGGCCATCCTGGCCAATATCCACATCAGGTCCAAGTCAGGAGAAGTCCGTAGCACAGGGATGAGGAGAACATTTTCAGCCTGAGCACCACATTCCCTTCCAGGCAAGATTCCCAGGGCCACTTGCCAGTGGTGGGCAGAGTTGAAGGCAAAAGTGGGCAGAGAAACTCATTTTTACCTTTGCACAGTAGGCTAGTTTTTGCACATGATCACACGCAAGCCTTCTCTGCCCTCCAGCCAGGCAGGCAAGAGGCCATGGTCAGAGTTCAAGGACGCATCCCAGACAGGCAAATAACACTCAAAGAGAATGCAAAGGTGAGATGGTGAGGGGAGCGTCCCACGAGCCTTGGCCCAGTATACCTGAAGGAGCGTCTCCACCCCCACTATTCAGCCCAGACACTGAGAGGGCTTTCTTGGTGGTGGCGTCCATCCTGTGGAATGCCCTCCCGTCAGATGTCAAGGAAATAAACAACTATCTGACTTTTAGGAGTCACCTGAAGGCAGCCCTGTTTAGGGAAGTTTTAAATGTTTGATGTTTTATCGTGTTTTTAATATTCTGCTGGAAGCCGCCCAGAGTGGCTGGGGAAACCCAGCCAGATGGGCGGGGTATATTATTATTATTATTATTATTATTATTATTATTATTATTATATTTATTTATTCCCTGAATAAATTGGGAGTTGTCTGTATGCAATGAGGTTACGCATTTATATAATTTACAGTAATGCACACCTTTCCTCCCATTCGTATTATTTTTACAAATTTTACTTTATTGGAAAATGAAATACCTGGAGAACTCAGGCAGATACAAGCAACAGTTAGAAGATTAAGCATTCATCTCTAAGCAGTTGGGATGAGGTAGCTACTCTAAGCAATCCTATCAAAGAAGAAAGAACATCAAATGTTTGTTTAGATAGGATCCCATAGTGAAGTAGCTGGTTGAGGCGAAGGGGACCAGAGGGAATGCAAATAGAATAAGAATTTTGAATTGGGAGAGATCCCCAAGGGTCATCTAGTCCAACCCCCTGTAATGTAGAAATAATAATGTAGAAGATCAAATGAGGGACAGGACAGAAAAGCAATATTATTTATTTTGTGTAGGGGACATGAACAGCCTTAAAGCAGCTGCATATCATATTACAGTGGTACCTTGGTTCTCAAACACCTTGACACTCAACCACCTTGGTTCGCAAACGCCAAAACCAGGAAGTAAGTGTTCCGGTTTTCGAATGTTTTTCCAAGGTTGAATGTCCGATGTGGTTGTTGGCTATTGTTTCCAGAGCGCCTGCACCAGTCAGAAGCTGTGCCTTTGTTTTTGAACATTTTGGAAGTCAAATGGACTTCCAGAATGGATTAAGTTTGAGAACCAAGGTACCACTGTATTTGGCGCTTATGTTTTTGCTATTTATTTTCAGTTTTTGAGGCTTTTTTGGTTAATTTGTTTTTGTGACTATGTAGAACCCAGTTCAGCTACTGATTGATTGATTGATTGACTGTGGAAATGGATAAAAGTCGCCCATCCAAACAATGACTACCATCAGTGCAGGTAAGAAAAAAACATTAATTTTAACTTTTATCATCTACAATATGGTCTTATTTATTTTATAGTACAGTACATTGATTATTGCTTTCATTTTATGGCTCAATGGTCTCATTAGATAGTAAAATTCATGTTAAATTGCTGCTTTAGGGGTTGTTTTTAAAAGTCTGGCATGGATTAATCTGTTTTGCATTGCTTTATATGGGAAAGTGTGCCTTGGTTTTGGAACGCTTTGGTTTTGGAACGGACTTCCGGAACAGATTAAGTTCGAAAACCAAGGTACCACTGTATATATGCAGTATGGAATGAAGTTTTAAAAAGCAAGCCATTCTTTTTTGTGTCTTGTGTGCTCTGGGGGCAGATGAGTCGCATTGGAGTCAACATCAGTTAAGACGTTCTCAAGTAAATTTTTGTCTTGACAGGCTAAAGACTGACAGAAGACACGGGTTCACAGCCAGTGGACCTGCTTTGGGCTGAGCCTGCTCTGCTAAGTAGGCCAAGGACTGGCACGAACCGAATTGGCACTGTGGGAATCGTGATCACTAAGCGAGCACAGACAAGCAGCGAATCCCACCCCTAGTATGACTAACTTAAAACCCGTTGTTTTTAATGGATCTGTTCTAAGTCTGGATCCAGCCCATAGATTCAGGTTTCTCTGGGTGCAGAATTTGACTGACTTACTTTGTAGAACTCACTGTGTGTTTTTTCTGTACAATAAACGATAAAATGTAAGATTAATTAAACCTAGCACAGATTTTGTTTTCTTTAGAAATTGCTTCTATAGTAGCCGCTTAGTCCAAAATTGCCACCCCTCAATTTTCTCTTTTTAAAATGGAGAATCCAGATGGCATCATTGCCTGCCCATTGCACTCCTGTATTTTCTGTGTTGTCCACACATTTCCCCCAATATGTGATTTGTGCCTATTTCCCTCACTTAGAAAGGGACGCGGGTCGTGCTGTGGGTTAAACCACAGAGTCTGGGACTTGCCGATCAGAAGGTCGGTGGTTCAAATCCCCGTGACGGGGTGAGCTCCCGTTGCTCAGTCCCTGCTCCTGCCAACCTAGCAGTTCGAAAGCACGTCAAAGTGCAAGTAGATAAATAGGTACCGCTCTGGCGGGAAGGTAAACGGAGTTTCCGTGCACTGCTCGGAATTTTTGTTAAGGAAGGAAAAGGAAAAGGAAAAACCCAGTAATTAAAGACCACTTTCCACTTGCAGTGAACAGGAAGGGGCAATTAAGGAGCAATTCATGAAGACTGCTGTGAGCAATCTGAAGTGGCAGCAATTAGAGGCAGAGGCTGCAAGGAAGCTTCTAATTAAAGTTCCAGGGGATCTTGCTGATAAGGACATTCCGTTTACAATACTTGCTTAGAAGTATCTTGGCTATGGGAATGGACACTGCTGAATAATATATATCAGGGGTGGCCAACTGCCAAGAGACTGTGATCTACTCACAGAGTTAAAAACTGGCAGTGATCTACCCCCTTTTTTGGGGTTCAGGTCAAGGTTGTTGAGCTTTTTTTAGAGGGGGAAATCCACTTTGGTAGATCCACAGTGATCTACCACAGACGTCCAGTGTAGTGATCTACTGGTAGGTCACAATCTACCTCAGTCTACTTATATCTGCCTGATATAGATTAAGTGTCTTGTGGAAACACAGTTTTGATTCAGCCTCCAGCTAACTGTGGAAATAATGATGCCTCAACCTTCTTAAAAAGAGCCCTAGAGTCAAAGTGATCTAAATCTATACACAGCAACTAGCTGGATTCAGAAATGTCTGCTATTTCCAGGACGGAGGCGAGAGGACTCTAATGTCCTCATGAGTCTATAGAATGACCCAGACATACATAGACATCAGAGGGTTCTGAAACATTCTGGACAAGTAAAAACGGAAAAGTCTGAGAGCCCGCCAACGCACTACTGTCAACAAGCCTTCTCTGGGTGAATTCTGAGCTTTCTGCTACCATCCAGATGTTGAGCGTCTTCTCCAGAACTCTTGCGTTCTCAGAAACTAGACCCTCCTGGATTGACAGTAAAGGATCCGCGGCTAACCCCCAGAATTTCTTGGCGAGTTCTGCTCCGCGATGTCCCAGCAGTGGCCAATGAAAAAACACACACTGTCTGCAGTGAACTTGTGTGCTTTGACTCTTGAATTCCACTCCTGTCCCATGACGGATTTGAGGAGGATGTAAAAACTGGAACAACTGCTGAGTCCTGTATGGGAATCAGAGGAAACTTGGTGGGAGGAGAAGGAGGGGAGGAATTCCGAATGTTTTGCATACGAAGGAAGTGAAGAGTCTTGCTATCTTTAGGCCCACTTCCTCAGCTAAGAGCCCCTGATGCTCAAACAGGGTTTAGTTAAATACCAAAGAGGGCAAAGTCCAAACCCAAGAGGCACAAAAACCATGGGGTGTGTCTGAGCTTGTGCAGAGTGCAATTCTGCCAGCACCAAATAACTACTGTCACAATATACGCTGGGGCTAGGGCAAGAAAAGACAAATGAGGCTGGTTGGGGGTTTCGTTTTTGTTTTTTTAAAAAGGAGGAAATGGATATATTTTATTCAGTTTAACAAAGATTAAGGCTTACATACTGGATACAGTTTATGGATTTATGACATGATGGTTGTAAATGCTATTGACAGTTCTGTTGTGGATTAGCAATGCAATGTCAGTTTGGCTCTGCTGATGGTTTTCTTTCTGCTGTATATTCCTTGCAAGGTTTCTGTGGTTCCAATAAAACAATTATTTTAAAGAATAATAATGCCCGGGGCTAGGGGTTAACCCTATACTTCCCTGCATGCTGCAACCTTCAGATGAAAACAGCGCTCTCCTCGGTGTAGCACATGGGTAGGCAACCTAAGGCCCGGGGGCTGGATCCGGCCCAATCGCCTTCTAAATCCGGCCCGCGGACAGTCCGGGAATCAGTTTGTTTTTACATGAGTAGAATGTGCTCTTTTATTTAAAATGCATCTCTGGGGCATAGGAATTCCCCAGATGCATCTTGTGGGGGCATAGGAATTCATTCATTTCATTTTATTTTTTCAAAATATAGTCCGGCCCCCCACAAGGTCTGAGGGACAGTGGACGGGCCCCCTGCTGAAAATGTTTGCTGACCCCTGGGGTAGTGCCTAAAAACACAAATGGTTCCAATGGAAGGCGTTTTTCCCCCCCAAGCACAGTTGCTGTGGTGAGGGAGGCAATTTCTAGTTAATGCACAGAAAGGGTGGACTTAATCCTTCCCTCCTCAATGGTGACACCCCTTCAAAATGGTACCCATGTGGCACTTAGGTGGAGGGGAAAGCAGCCATTAGCACCAATGTAAGCTTAATAATGGGACGCGGGTGGCGCTGTGGGTTAAACCACAGAGCCTAGGACTTGCCGATCAGAAGGTCGGCAGTTCGAATCCCCGTGACGGGGTGAGCTCCCGTTGTTCGGCCCCTGCTCCTGCCAACCTAGCAGTTCAAAAGCACGTCAAAGTGCAAGTAGATAAATAGGTACTGCTCCAGCGGGACGGTAAACGGCGTTTCCGTGCACTGCTCTGGTTCGCCAGAAGCGGCTTAATCATGCTGGCCACATGACCCGGAAGCTGTACGCCGGCTCCCTCAGCCAGTAAAGCGAGATGAGCGCCGCAACCCCAGAGTTGTCCGCGACTGGATCTAATGGTCAGGGGTCCCTTTACCTTTACCTTAAGCTTAATAATAATAGCAACAGTAATCAACTGTTGGTGTAAAGGTTGAGGATGGAGGTATAAGCAGACCCTCCAAGTGTCCCTATTTTCCAGGGACAATCCCAGATTTACAGAAGCAGTCCTGGTTTCTGATTTGATCCCGGAATAATAATAACAATTTATTATTTATATCCCGCCCATCTGGCTGGGTTTCCCCAGCCACTCTGGGCAGCTCTCAACAGAATAAAAAAGCGATAAAATAGCAAACATTAAAAACTTCCCTAAACAGGGCTGCCTTCAGATGTCTTCTAAAAGTCAGATAGTTGTTTATTTAATTGACATCTGATGGGAGGGCGTACCACGGGGAGGGCGCCACTACCGAGAAGGCCCTCTGCCTGGTTCCCTGTCACCTCACTTCTCACAGGGAGGGAATCACCAGAAGGCCTTTAGAGCTGTACCTCCGTGTTTGGGCTGAACGATGGGGGTGGAGACATTCCTTCAGGTATACTGCTTTTCCTTAGATGTCCCTATTTTCATCAGAGAATTGCTGGAGCGTATGGAGTTATGCCACCCCTGATCCAAGGATATAAGTAACGATACAACATTTAGAAGACGTCTGAAGACAGTCCTGTATAGGGAAGTTTTTTTAAAAAAATGTTTTAATATGTTTTTATATATGTTGGAAGCCGCCCAGAGTGGCTGGGGCAGGACTTCCGGGGGAGGCGCCTCCTGCAATGGCAGAATTCCTCTGACCAGGAGGAATCTGCTCCGTGGAAATCTGGGTCTGGCCGCCACGGCGAAGGCGGAGACCCGTTAAAATCACAGGCGGAAAAAGCCTGTGAACGTGGGATTCGACGGGCACCTTTTGCGCCTCCCCCTCTCGCGGGGAACCCCGGTTTTTGGGGCTCCGGAGCGACGTGGGTTGAGCGGCGCGGTGCATCGAATCGTCTGCTTCTTCCACGGAGCGAAGCCGCATAGCTGTTGCCGGAGAGCGCTGACCTTTTCCTGTGGACAATTTGACTTTAAAGGAATTACCCGTGAGTAGAACTGAAATGGAAGAATTGGATCTCTAAAAGTTTAATTTGGTATCGTAATGGGGAGGTTCAAAACAGGAAGTCCGCCTTCCCTTTTTGTAAATAGACTGAGGCAATGAAGTTGCAAGCTGGAGTCCTGGAAGGTCTTTTGTAAAAGATCAAATTTCCAACGGTAAAGAACATTAAACCCCCTCTTGGAGGCAGGAGAAGAGAGGGGGACGTTGCGGATTGAGTATGCCTGCGGGAGAGAGCGAAGAGGCTTAAAACACCACCGCTCTGACCCTGGACACGGGCTGGTAGTAAGACTGACGTTTTTGGGGGTTTTTTTGAATGTTCATTGACAGCGTTTAGAACGTTCATTGACAGCTAGTTAAATAAGAGAAATACATTGTTTCTACTGTTTCCGGTTGTTTTTTAAAAAGGAGGAAAGTAACTGAAAATTGAAACTAACTTCGGATTATTGAAACTGTGTTTAAAAGAGGACATATTGACCGATACAAATACAATCTGTTTTCCCCTAGTGGAAGCTTTTGAAATTGGTTACTTTATAGGAGCTGGGCTAGGGGAACTTCCAGCTGCAAGATAAAAAAAGTGTGAGACTTTGGAATTGACCTTGAATCTCTTAAGTGTTATGGCAAATGGAAAGGAAAAAACAGATGGGATGTCGACAGAGGAGGCCTTAGTGGCTCCATTATTGAAAATAAACGATTCGCTGGAACAACTCCATAAGAAAACAGATGCGATAAATGTGAAATTGGATGTTGCAAATATTGAAACTGATTTAATTGTAGAAAGTTTAAATAACTTGGGACAAAAGGTGAATACCAATTCAGAAACCACCCAGAAACTGATACAGGAATCTACTCTGAAACGGCAAA